TTATGATCCCACCTCTCCTGAGTTCCTTCTTCCCATTTATCCCCATAGCTCTTTGTACAGCCTTCCCTCTCCCGCTTCCATTTAAATACCCCCATTTTACACATTTCTCCCTTAGTAATACCTGTATCCTACTGTTCTTCTCTCTCGGGTTCCTTCTTTCCCTTTACCTCCCTGATTACTCTCCATTTTCCTAATTCCTACGGTTACATCAGGATATATACTCATATATAAGGATTTATGTACTAGGATCCACAAGTGAGGGAGAACATACGTTGTTTGTTTTTCTGAGTCTGTGTTACTTCACTTAGTATGTTTCCAGTTCCATCCATTTACCTGAAAATTTCATTATTTCATCTTTCTTTACCACTGAGAAGACCTCCACTGTGTAAATGTACCACATTTTCATTGTCCACTCGTCAACTGGGGGACACTTAAATTGCTTCCATCTCTTAGCTATTTTGAGAAGATCATCAACAAATATGGTTGTACAAGTGTCACTATAACAGGATGAGTTCTTTGGGTATATGCCAAGAAGTGGTATAAACAGGTCATATGGTAGGTTCATTTTTAGTTTAAGAGTTCTCCACACTGCTTTCCATAGGGGTTGAACAAGTTTGCAGTCCCACCAGCAATGGTTGAGCATTCACCTTTTTCCATATCCTCTCCAGCAAATTTGGTATCATTTGTTCTCTTGATCTTAGCCAGTCTGACTGGGGTAAGGTAAAATCTTAATGTGGTTTTAATTTGTATTTCCCTAATTACTAATGATGTTGAACACTTTTTTTTTTTGGTCTTTTTGAGACAGGGTCTCTCTTTAGCCTCACCTGGCCTGAACTCGCTATGTAGACCAGGCTGGCCTTGAACTCACAGAGATCCACCTGCCTCTGCTGGGATTAAAGGGGTGTGCCACCAAGTCTGGCACAATGTTGAACACTTTTTAAGATGTTTCTTAGACATCTTTTTTTTTTGTCTTTTTGAAGCAGGGTCTCCCTGTAGCCCCAGCTGTCCTGGAACTCACTACGTAGACCAGGCTGGCCTTGAACTCACAGAGATCCACCTGCCTCTGCCTCCCAAGTGCTGGGACTACAGGCATGCGCCACCATGCCTGGCTTACATCTTTATTTCTTCTTTTGAGAATTCTGTTCAGATCTTTAGCTCATCTTTTAATTGGGTCACTTGTTTCCTTGATTGTTTGTTTTTTGAGTTCTTTATATATTCTGAATGTTAAACCTCTGTCAGATGTGTCCTTTCCTACACCTCTATCTTGTAGGTTATTGTCAATGTTTACTTCTAACAGTTTCAGATTATTATTATTATTATTATTATTGTCTTTTTGAGACAGGGTCTCTCTGTAGCCCCAGCTGGCCTGGAACTTGCTATGTAAACCAGGCTGGACTTGAACTCACAGAGATCTGTTTGCCTCTGCCTCGCAAGTGCTGGGACTACAGGCGTGCACCACTATGCCCAGCAACAGTCACTGCTGAGTCAATTCTCCAGCCCAAGAGAGATCTAACTTTTGTCCCTTGGTGGATAGCCAGTTGTGCCAACCTTTTTGGGTTTGTTTTTATGCATGTGTGTTTCTGTGTGCTCATATGCATACATGTGTACATGTGTGGGTGCACATACATATGAGCAACATGCTTATGGAGGCTAGATGTTGGTACTGTTTTCCCCTATGGTTATTCACCTTTGTGTGTACCTGTGTGCATGTGCATTCATATATGTGAATTGGGGTACATTCTGCCACAATTTGTGTGTGCAGGTCAGTGTACAACCTGGGTGTCAGTTCTTGTCTTCCACCTTGTTTGTGAGAGGATCTGTTTGTTATTTGCCATTGCGTACAGCTTGACAGCTGGTCCAGAAGTTTCTGGGGATTCTCCTGTCTCCACCTCCCATCTTTCCATAGCAGCACTGGGATCCTACACACTTTTATTACCATGCCCAGCTTTTGCAGGGTTCTGGGGACTCTAACTCAGGTTCTCACATTTATACAAAGACTTTTACCCATTGAGCCATCTCCCTAAGCCCTGCACCTTATTTTTGTGTCAGGGCTTTCAACGAACCTGGAGCTCATTGATTTACTAGACTAACAGGCCAGTAAGCCCAAGGAGCCTCCCATCTCTGCTTCCCCAGCACTGCTCCCAGTGACTACTAGGAATTTGAACTCAGGTCCTCATGCTTGCATGGTGAGCTCTTTACCAACTGAGCTATCATCCAGCCTCTGTTGTTTTGATATTGTGACAAATGTATAGACAATGGGAGGGGCGTGCCATCTTTATAATGTCGGGCTTCCCCACTCATTCTTTCTGGCCTTCTTTAACATCTTTCCAAAGTTGTCTTTATATTAGAACCTTTTTTTAAATTGCAGTTATGTCTGTGTCCCCCCACCACTGTGCATGCACAGACACACAGACACACATGGAGGTCAGAAGACAACTTACAGAAATTAGTTCTCTCCTTCCACCAAGTGAGTCCCTGGAATCCAACTCAATTTGTCAAACTTGACATAGGTGCTTTTATCCACTAAGCCATCTCAAGATTTCGTGTCCTACAGGGTACTATTTTTCAGTCCCAGTCCCAAGAACTCCTTATTATTTTGTTTTGTTGTTTTGAGGGGTAGTGAGTGTGTGTGTGTGTGAGAGAGTCTCAACAAGCCCAAACTAACCTCAAACTCAATGACCTTGAACTTCTGATCCTCTGTGCACCACCATGCCTAGTTTTAAAGGTGCTTGGGATCCATTCCAGGGCTTTTATACAGGTTAGGCAAGCATTCTACCAACTGAACTGCATCCTCGGTCCTCCAACAGCACTGTAAAGATTGCATTACCTTTTTTTTTTTTTTTCCAGAGCTGAGGACCAAACCCAGGGCCTTGTGCTTGTGAGGCAAGCGCTCTACCACTGGGCTAAATCCCCAACCCCAAACATTACCTTTTCCAAAGAAAGATTTTATTTTTTATATGTATGAATGTTTTCAAGTATGCATGTGTACCACATGTGTGTGTACCTCCTGTTGGAGGCCAGAAGGTGGCATTTATTTACGTATTTATTTATTTATAAATAAAAATTTATTTCCACCGGGCGTGGTGGCGTATGCCTTTAGTCCCAGCACTTGGGAGGCAGAGGCAGGCAGATCTCTGTTAGTTCAAGGCCAGCTTGGTCTACATAGTGAGTTCCAGGACAGCTAGAGGGAGACCCTGTCTCATAAAGATCAAAAAAAAAATTATTTCCTACATGTATGACTGTTTGCAAGTATGCATGTGTACCACATGCATGTGTACCTCCTGTTGACCATGGAGGCCAGAAGGGGGCATTAGATGCCCTGGAACTGGAGCCACCATGTGGGTTCTGGAAACTGAATCCAGGTCCTCTACATGAGCAGCAAGTGTTCTTAACCACTGAACCAATGTTTGGCCTTTGTCATACTTGAATAAAAGCCATTCATGAATCAAAAAAGAAAAAACTTAGTATAACCTAAGAGTAAACTTAGGTGGGCATAGTGGCACAAGCCTAAGATCCCAGCACTCAAGGAAGCTGAGACAGGTGGAATGCCAGGCAAGTCTGCACAGTGGTGGTGGAGGAGGGGGGCAAGAAGGACATGGGGAGGAGGAAGGAGGAAGGAGGGGGTAGGGGGGGAGGGATAGAAGGGGAGCAATTGGTGGGCAAGGTCTATATTTGAAACTTAAAGATGATCTGAGACTATGTCTTATGCATATTGCTTTTGTCACATGGAAAACTTGAGGGAGCATTATGAAATTGCTCATTTGGGGGAGATGGGGGATACAAGGAAGAGAGAGATGAAAAGAAGAAAAACCTCTAAGTCCAGACATGTCAGTCACCCTCCTCCCCTCACCCAGTATCACTCTAGAAGTTAGACTGTCTGACATGGCCTTTTTTCTCTCCCATTCTGGCAGTCATCACGTCCCTTGGCTGGTTTATCCCTAGCAGTACTGTGCCACTCTTTCCACTATCCAGGGTACCTAAAAAGAAAGCTTATCATGTTTTCCTCAGGTGAAAGATAAAAGAAAATAAAACAACGCATAACCAAATCACTCCTGGGCTGGGGTTGGGGACAGAGCTTGGTAGTTGAGCACTTGCCTGGTATGTTTAAGGTCCTAGGTTCAATCCTTAGGCGACTGAACTAAATGGAAAACTTTTGAGTTCTTCGGGCTTATTCTTTCTCCGACTATAAGAAATCCTCCAGTCTGCTCTGGTCCTCAGCCCACTCTCCCTGGCCAGCCATCTAACCCACAAGCACTTTAGAACAGGATGTGCCTTGCCTTCCTCCCTCTTTCAGATGTCCTTTCTCCCCTTCTGCCCATCCTTCAGAACGATTGTCCTCAAATCTCCTTTCCTCTGGACTGGCTGCACTCTCTCCTACCCCCACGCTGGCCAAGCGCTTTTTAGTTGCTGTGTGTTCTGAGTCATACCTCTTTATAGCATTCCTGGGATCACAGTACCTGTTTCATAAATCTCAAGTATCCCAGGAAAGCTAGGCCATGGTAATTCATGTGTGTCCTCCCTAAGGAGGGAGGGAGAAAGGAAGGGATAGATGGAGTGGATGGATACTAGCTGGGATAGATGGGTAGATGAGATGCAAAGTCGAGAAATTTTTTTAAGTGTCCTTGCGAAAATCGAAGACATACACCAGGGGGAGCTGAACCACAACAGTAATGTTCCCGGTCCGCCAAACGAGGCTGCAAGCTCTAGGGTGAGCCGCACGCACGGAAACAAGCATCAGGCAACTGATGCGGCTCCCCCACGTGTGCATGCCCTAGTCTGCAGGCCCAGACAGTGTTTGAGCTCATCCCACCGCCCCCTCCACCCTCCTCGCCCGCCTCCACCTCCACCGAGAAAGCAAACAAAGGGGAGGGACCCCTGCAGGGGCTATGGATACCGAAAGCCAATCGGAGGACTCTTCATCTCCTGGAAGGCAGCCGCCTCCATTTGCAGGAGCCCAATCTGCTTACAAGGACTTAGGAGGGGCGGAGGGAAGGGCAGGGCCTCGCTGGAGTCGGGACGCGAGCGGGAAGGACTCTCCTACTGGGACCTCCGGCCGAGGTGTTGGGGGTGGAGCCAGGCTCCTCAGCCTATGAGGACAGGGAGAGCAGGGCCGCGGCGCGCGGGATCCGGCTGATGCTCCTGGCCCTTCCCCGAGACCAGAAGGGAGGGAGAGCCGGCGAGAGAGCGAGGACGCGCGTGCGCAGTGGCGCGGGGAGGAGCAGGGACTTGGCAGCGGGCAAGAGGGCTGCGAGCGAGCCGCGAACCCGGCGGGCGGCGGGCGGCGGGCGCGCGCACCATGGGGGAGAAACCCGGGACCAGGTAAGGGAGGTGGGGCCGTGCAGCCGGGCGAGGGCGGCGGCTCGCGGCGGGTGCCGGGATGGTCTCCAGACAAGGGCATCGGGGAGAGAATCCAGGGGCCGGACGCCTGGGTCCCTAAGGGGTAGCCATCGGGGCGGCAAGCCTAGGTCCTTGAGGATAATGGGAGGGGGTGGTGAATGCCTGGGCGCCTGCAGAAAGCCCGAGCTGATGGCGATCGAGAAACACACGTCTGAGTTCTCGCACCGATGTAGGAGTCGGACGACTGGGTTCTCTGTGCAGGCTGTGATGCAGGGGCGGAGGAAAGAGGAGCAGGTGGCCGGCCCCGAGGGTTTGTGTACCCGGAGACTGGATGCTGGGAAAGGATTCCCCTAGACTCATGCCCAGCCAGTGGAAAGCCTCCTGTCCAATATCCCACAGGCAGTCTGGTTGCCCCCACCTGTCCCGAGGGCAGCTCTGCTACCAAACTTCTGCTGGTCCCTAGGTTGCTAAGAGCAACAACTTCACCTTGAGGGAGTGTGTAGGGACCTTCCCTGAAACTGGGCTGTATTCCTGCCCTGGGGTGAAGGAGAGGTGCTATCTGCCCTGGACACACGTCCACTCCCCGGATGTTTTCTGTGCAATCGAGTCTCCTTCCTTCCACTGACACCCGAGTTCTCTTTTTTGATCTGTAGCAAAATCCACTTCCTGTTGTGACCCAGCACCGTCAAGAGGGCAGGGGGTGAATGCTCGAGTCCTAGGGGAGTAGGAGCAAAAGCATAAGTTGGGACTGTGTCCCTCCAGCCAGAGAGGACCAAGAATAAGGGCCTGATCCTCATCTGTCACTTGGGATCAACCTCACCACTCCCACTACCCATGGGGTATGTGAATACCAGGCTTCTAAGTATCAAGAGACCAGTATCTGAGTGAGATGATAAGAGGGAAGATTGGCCTCCTGGATTTGGGGTTAAACACCCCAGAGAAAGGGGAAGTCACTGACTTGAGGGAGGCCCCCAAATCTCTATCTGGTGGTTCAGGAGGGGGAATAGATGGACCAAAGAGACTGCTGACTTGGCATAATTCCCTCCACTCTCATCAAATTCTAGGCCACAGGAAACGGAGAGAATAGCAGGAAATGCAAAGGGGTATCTGCTTCAGCTGCCCCACCAACCACCCCCCTCACTGGGTACCTCCCTGGTAGTTCCCTCCATGGCCAGCCTCAGTATGTGCATGCTTCTCCTCCCTAACCTGGCAAAAGGTGGCTGGGTAGGATGTAGAGGGTTAGGTGCCTTGTAGTTACTTCAGAGCAACTGACTCAGAGTCACACTGTGGCTATCACAGCCCTCTTCCAGGACTCCTATTGGAACAAAGGAAAACCAGAAGTGGAAGAAAGCCTAGGTGATGCCCTAGCTGTGGGCAGAAGATAGGGTGTTTGTTCTTGCTGCCTCCATGTCCATATTTACCGTTATTGTTTGAGGATACTCAGGGGTGCCCCATACGTTCTGCCATGTGACATATGGACAGCTTGGCCTTTGGAAAGGAAGGGACAAGTGAAGTTGTTCTAGCAGAAACTAAGGCAGTGGAGTTGGAGGAAGAGTGGGACACTTGGCAGGATTTCAGTTTGTTATCTGGGGACCCTTTCTAGAGTTTCTGCTGAGGCAGAAGGTAGAAGAGGTAGAATGGTCTTCAAAGAACAAGCCCATGAGGGGCCAGAGCACTGGGGTGACCAAACAGTTTCCTACCCTCCCAGCAGTGGGTGGAGTCCAGGCTTAGTTGTTTCAATGCTTGAGTAGAAAATCCCCTTAAACTTGACAAACTGTCAAGGCCAGTTACAGTTGCAGAGGGTACTTTTAATAGTTTAGTGACTAAGAGCAGGGACTTGGGGCCAGACTGCCTTAGTTTCTATGAGTTCCATCATGTACATTCTCTGTGACCTTAGACAAAATTCTTGACTTCCCTTTGCTCTGGTTTCCTCACTTGTAAAATGGGGATATTTGGATTTCAGTCATTGAGTTTGTGTTAAATAACATACTTGAAACACTTGGAACAATTCTAGGAACCAGAGTACTTACCCAATAAATGTTAGCCAGCATTGTCATCTCTGCCATACGGCTGTTACTGTGTTGGGACACCTAACTGTACAAGGCCCCTGAGGCTCACAGTCTAAGAAGAGAGACAGCTGATACATAGCTATAGCTCTTTGTATTGTCACATCACAAGTAAAATACAAACAAGATGTGAAAGGAACAAAATAAGGGGGTGGGGTGATTGAAGTCTAGGCTGAGTCTGCATGCTAAAGGAGATGATATCTGAGCTAAGCCTTGAAAGACATGGATTTTTTTTCAAGCTGCTGAGGTCAGAGATGGGGACAGTGGATATTCATGGAATAGAGTCAGACTGGGTAGTACCTTTAGTAGAAACCATCTAAGGGGCAAAAGTTAAGGCCACTGCTCCAAGAGTCACCCCAAGTGTCACTGAAGCTAAATGTCAAATGAAAAGTGGTACATTCTGCCCAGCATGGTGGTGTGTCTTTAATCTCAGGCAGAGGCAGGCAGATCTCTGTGAGTTTCAGGCTAGTCAGGGCTACATGATGAGACCCTATCTCAAAAAGAAAATGTTAAGTCTGCCCCGGCATGATGTCACCGTCCAGTTTAGATCCTGTGTATGGGAGGTCCCCTGGATAGCTCTTGAGGCAATCAGTGGACATTACTGTAGAGGGAAGGGGCAAGTTAGGGTAGACCAAACACAAAAGCAGCAAGCCTTTGCCCTACCCTGACAATTGACTTCAAGGGGCTGCCTTATGAGAAATATGAGAGACCTTATAGAAAAAAGTGGAAGGGGGTAGATCAGAGATCCTGGTGTGGTGGTCTCTGCTGAGTCTAAGGGAGGCAGTGGGGTCTCCCTTTCTGTTTTGTTAGGGTCTTCAAGAAGTCGAGCCCTAACTGCAAGGTGAGTCACCCTCAGTGCTTATCCTTTTGATCCTCCCTGGGCCCTATCAAAGCCCAACCTACCCCTAGATGATCCCCAACCCCTAGCTCCCCACTTCCTGTGACAGCTAAGAACAAACTTCCTTCCCTCATGAAGCCCCTTGCCACAGCCTGAGCAAGCCACAGGGCTGGGTCGGAACAGGGCTAGGTCCCTAGGCAAGCCTATAACTCTTAGGAGCCAACCCAAAGAGCCTGGGGTTAGGAAAAGTTAACAACCCTCCAGGCTATGGCCTGTTTATCTCAGAGCCCTTTGTGGGGACAGCTGCTAACCGGTTGGTCTTGCAGAGCCCTCCCTGATGACAAGGGAACACACAGGGATACACACATATACATCTATCCCTGACTGGTGGGCAGAGGTGTGAAAATGATAGAGCAGTAGCTAAAAAGCCTAAGAAAGCTTCATTGGGTAGTCTGCGAAACCCTGCCACCCTTACCTTCTAATGCTACTGGGAGAAACTCCTTCCTGAGAGCCCAGCCAAGGGAGCTCCGGGCAGGGTAGCCACCTTTGAGGGCTCTGATTGCTTGCCATCGTCCTCCCCCAATCTTCCCTGTGACCCTTGACGTCCTCAGCTCACCGTGTACTTGGGCAAACGTGACTTTGTAGATCACCTGGACAAAGTAGATCCTGTGGGTAAGTTTCCCTAAGGGGACAGCTAGTTCCCCAAGAGGGGAGGAGGTTCCTGGGTACAGGAATGGGGACAGGCCCTTTCCAGAAATGAGCCCTATGTCCTTTTCCTAGATGGTGTGGTGCTCGTGGATCCTGACTACTTGAAGGACCGCAAAGGTACTGGCCCTAAGTCCAGGAGCTGGAGGGGAGGTAGGAGGAGGAAGAAATTAAATGGGCTGGCATTGGTAGGGTACCCCAGAGAGATGGAAGGCTGAGGCAAAAGCAGGAAGTAGGATAGAGGGAGGTCTGTCCTGCTGAGGAAGGTTCTGGGCTGCTAGGTATTGGGTGAGATGAAGGGAGGGCATTCTAACCACCACTTGACCCTTTCCAGTGTTTGTGACCCTCACCTGCGCCTTCCGCTATGGCCGAGAAGACTTGGATGTACTGGGCTTGTCCTTCCGCAAAGACTTGTTCATTGCTACCTACCAGGCCTTCCCCCCGATGGCCAACCCGCCCCGGCCCCCTACCCGTCTACAGGACCGGCTGCTGAAGAAGTTGGGCCAGCACGCCCACCCTTTTTTTTTCACAGTGAGGATGCCCCCCACACTCTGCAGGACATGGGGTCTGGGACTGTTTGGGGTTGACATGGAGTAAGGCATCTGTTACCAGTTGATCTGGGATAAAGTAAAGGAGGGGACCTAGGTTCACCTCCCTTTAAGGACTCCCTGCCTTCAGGCCAACCTCCTTCCTGGGACCCTCTTCTCCATTTTCAATCCTCAAGTGCCCTTTCTTCCATTCCTGGAGGGACTGAAGCCTCCCCATTTCTCTGCCACAGATACCCCAGAACCTGCCCTGCTCCGTCACACTGCAGCCAGGACCAGAGGACACAGGGAAGGTATGGGAGGAATATCTCTGAGAGTCCAGCTGGAAGGTGAACTACAGGGGTGGCCTGAGGACAGGGAAGTGTCCCCATGGACATTGGTGTGTATGGTGTGGTCAATGCACATGCAACATTACCTCCTGCTCTCTGACTTGCATGACCTGGGTATGGGGGTTCCTCTACATACTGCTATGAGCCATGTCAGGTGCTACATGGAGACAGCAGAGCAAGACAGACCCTATGCTCCTCATACCATGATGAGGCAAGAGTTCATGTTCGAGGGGAGGGAAGCAAGGAGGAAGGAAGGGGAGTGGTGGAAATGGTGACAGGAGCCTTGGGTAAGACTTGGCCTTTTCTCCCCCTTCCCAAGGCCTGCGGGGTAGACTTTGAGATTCGAGCCTTCTGTGCCAAATCACTAGAAGAGAAAAGCCACAAAAGGTGAGGGAAACAACCTTCTCTGGGATTTAACCACTTCCTCCCTGCTTCAGGGAGCCCCTCTGTGGGAAGTGGGAATCAGTGTTTGGGTATCTGGAGCCTGACCCTTCCCCCGCTCCTTGACCCAGGAACTCTGTGCGACTTGTGATCAGAAAGGTACAGTTTGCCCCAGAGACACCTGGTCCCCAGCCCTCAGCTGAAACCACACGCCATTTCCTCATGTCTGACCGGCGGTCCCTACACCTAGAAGCGTCCCTGGACAAAGAGGTGGAGTATGAGTGGGTGACACAGTTGCCACTAGTCAGGCCAGATCCTGCGGGGAGGGGCAAAGCCACAGGCAAGATGGTGGTTTCTTTTTAAAAGGCAGTTTCCATGCTGGGGTGGAGCCGCTATGGGCTGGGGGTGGGGGTGGGGCAGAGCAGCTTCTGTTAGGGAGCACACCAAGAAGGGGACCAGCAGAAGACAAGTGCAAGTCATGCCATCCCCTCCCTTCAAAAGCTGTACTACCACGGGGAGCCCCTCAATGTCAATGTCCACGTCACCAACAACTCTGCCAAGACCGTCAAGAAGATCAGAGTCTCTGGTAGGAGGCGGGGTGGACACGGGCTTGGGGAGGAGATCCTGGTAGGAGGCGGGGTGGACACAGGCTTGGGGGAGGAGATCCCTGCATAAGGGGCGTCTGCTGCCATAGTAGTCCAGGTCATGTCCCAGTGTGGGAGACCTACGAGGGCATAAAGAATTTAGGCGGTTTCAACAGGATATACAGCGCCAATGTTTACTGTAGAAACGGCTGTTGGTCGGGTAGGAGGCTGGGGTGTGCTGCCCCTTGGGGGAGGGCTCATCTCATGTAGTCTGGAGTTGTGGTGCAGTGGTAGTCTGTGCTCTATCTAAAGCCACTCGGTTCCCCGCCCCACAGTGAGACAGTATGCCGACATTTGCCTCTTCAGCACCGCGCAGTACAAGTGTCCTGTGGCTCAGCTGGAACAAGAGTGAGTAGGACACAGGTGTGGGACCCAAGCTTGGGGGTCAGTGTGAGAACACAGGCAGAGTTCTTCATGAGCCGCCTTACCTAGAAGGGTGTCCCTCCATAGCCAGGTGGCTGCAAGCTCTTCATGATTTGAGCAGGTTGAGCCCAAACCTACCCCCTTATAACCTGTGTCCAAAAGGACAGCAAGGGAGAAGATGCTGCCTGGTGGGTAGAAGGTCGTACTTCCCCTAGCCCATCCCCTCCAAGAGTCTCGTCCCCTTGTCCCCTACCTCCCAGTGACCAGGTATCTCCCAGTTCCACATTCTGCAAAGTGTACACCATAACGCCGCTGCTCAGTGACAACCGGGAGAAGCGTGGCCTTGCCCTGGATGGGAAACTCAAGCATGAGGACACCAACCTGGCTTCCAGTACCATGTGAGGGCGGGGCTGGGGGGCTAGGGGACAGGTGACAGGCTTCCATTCAATGCAGGCTGTGGGCCAGGCTGTCCTAGGTGCCAGGGAGGTATCAGTGAACAGAAGAGATAAAAACCTCTTACATTCTCAGAAAGGGAGGACAGGCAATCAGATAAATAGTAAACTATACAGCAAGTATAAGGGACAAGTGTTAAGCAGGAAAAGCATGCAGAGCAGGAGGCATGAAGTACAGAAAGGGGCAGGGTGTGTTGGTTTGCAGTAGACTGGCCAAAGAAGGCGACCACTGAAAAAGGACAGAGAGGAAAGGGGCTTTGTGGATATGCAGGACACAAGGCTTCCAGGCAGAGAGAACTGCAAGCTCAAAGACAGGTAGGATGGTCCCAGTGTATCTGAGGAATCATTCATGAGATGCGATGACAACCATGGCCTTGGGCAGAAGCATCCATGCTGTGCAGCCACACAGGCCCTCATGGTGAGAAGAAACCTCAAGGAGAGAAGTGAGCAAGGAGACCACCTCGTGGAGCACTGTAGTCAGGACTCCAGGGTCACTAGCAGAGATGAGGTCCCAGGAGGGTTCTGAACAAGGGAATGCTGTGGTGACCTGTACTGCCATGGGTAGACAGCTGATGCAGTGGAGCCCCAAAGGTAGGCTAGCTGACAGGATGATGGGCCCTGACCCCAGCTCCCCTTTCAACAATTACAGTGTCAAGGAGGGAGCGAACAAGGAGGTGCTGGGGATCCTGGTGTCCTACAGGGTCAAGGTGAAGCTGGTGGTGTCTCGAGGCGGGTAAGTGGTAAGGGAGCCTGGTCAGGGTCACACTGGGTCTCTTTGGAAGCATAAGGTTGTGGTCATTGTCCTCTTCATGTGGTCTCTGCCCCTCCCCAGGGATGTCTCTGTGGAGCTGCCTTTTGTTCTTATGCACCCCAAACCCCATGACCACATCACCCTCTCCAGACCCCAAACAGGTGAGCACTCTTCCCCACCCTAAACCCCTATAGTGAAGGCCTGAAGCAGAGCCAGTGGAGAAATGCTGGTGCTTCTAGTGCCCACCCATCTGCCCCCTCTGTACCCTTCAGTCATCCAGGAAACAGATGTCCCTGTGGATACCAACCTCATCGAATTCGATACCAAGTAAGAAACACATCCCCAGCCTTATTTTGGTTCTCTTTGGCCAGAGATCCCCATAGCATTCAGCTTTACCTTCATAGGTATTGTTTAGTTTTGAATTTGCTTATTTTCTTGTGGTGGCGGGGAGAGGTTAAAGTATCAAGTCAGATGACAGCCTTATGAGGCTGCCTGTTATCCTTCCTTGTCTCTTATAAATCCCTCTAGTTCATTACTGCTCAAACTCCTGTCCCTGGGAGGGAATGGGAGGAAGGCAAAGTAGGAAGCCCAAAGAAGTGTCGGAAGCCCTTACTTTACCCTCTCCTCTCTACCACCAAGCTATGCCACAGACGACGACATTGTGTTTGAGGACTTTGCCCGGCTTCGGCTGAAAGGAATGAAGGATGATGACTGTGATGACCAGTTCTGCTAGGAAAGGGGCGGGGGGGCTAGAAGAAGGGAGTGGATGGTGCTGGGGGAGGTAGGAGCAGGACCAGGACCCCACTGTCGCTGGGGATAGGGGTTACATCCTCTCCTTCCTCCACCATCCCCTAAGATTAGGCACTGGACCCATTGTTTGTTGAAAGTGGGCATTAATCTTTTAACTACAGCTGTGCTGCCACACACCCCCTCCCCAGGGTGGCAAGCTGTGTTCACACCTAAGTTTTGGCGAGGGGAACACTGAAAATAGTGATCATAGAGGAAGGAGGTAGGAAGAACCCTGACATCTGGCCTCACACCAACATGCCCCTTTAGTCACTCTCTCTGCCTCCTGTTCCTTAAAGATGAGACCCTGTGGGAGCAAGACCATTTTTTTTGTTTCTGAGCATAAGGAAGAAATAAATCTTTTAATAGGCATGAATATGTGTATTTTCTCTAAAGAGTTTACAGTGTGCCCATCCATGATATTTTTTTCTGCATCTGCAGGGCGCCTTATACAACCTATCAATAAATGTTTATTGAATGACTGTGCAGTGCCTGTGTTCCAAGGTAAACCCTGAAACTTGATTTGGTCAGTGCATACTCAGGGGTACAGCTTGGTAAAGCCACAAAGTAAACTTAGTCATTTACAGGGGAAATAATAACTAAGTTCCCTGCAGACTAGATGCTCCTGGTAGCTGGGGAGGGCGGGCTCCTCTCTATTGAGGCTGGTGACATATGACCACATTGTGACCTTGTTGGCTTTGTTTCCACTGTTCCATATGGTTATTAAAGCATTCTACTCCGGGGACTCAGTGGAAACACATCTGCATGCATCACCAGACAGATACCACACAAGTGACATCTCTGTGGTGTTAGTACACAGAAGACAGCTAACAGTCATGCTGCTGTGGGCCTGAGTCCTAGGAGCTACATCCTAGTATGGCTTCTGTGGCATATGTTAGACTATGAGGTTTAGCCAAAGCACTAGATTGGGGAAGGGATTAGCAACATACCACGAACATTTTTCGCCTCTGTCGCATCACCCACTGTAACACCCACAGGTGACCTATCTTAAGGCTCCATGAGCAGTCATGATTTGAGTCCCTACTGTGTCAGGCATGGTATAGGGATGTAGCAGTAGAACACGCATTAAATCATTCCCTGTTTATTGCACTCCCTATGTCCAAGGAGAACAGGAACTGAGGCTACATGACAGTATGATCTAGGCTGGGGAGTGGAGAGGACTTCCCTGGAGCAAGTGACCTTTAAGAGGACAGCTGGAAGGTGAGTTAGGGCTCATGCATTCTGGACCGTGGCAGTTCTACATATGAAGGCTGGAAGGAATCATGTATTTTAGGGATCCAGACCAGGGATTGGAACAGCTAGCCAAAAGCAAGACTGGTCTAAATGAGGCTGGTGAGGCAGATGGCAGTACCTCAAATGGACCAAGTCTTATGTTGAAGCTCATGAAATATAATTGAATCATCTATCCACAGGTTTTAAGTGCTGCCAAAATGTCAATGACCTTACTAGCTCTATCACAGGTGTAGTCTTCCCTGGCCACACTGAATTTGTCATACAGAGGAACTAGAACCTTCACTTCTAGTGTCCCTGACCTCTGTGACCTTATTCCTTGACCTCTAAGCTCATGACCTCAGATTACTAGATGAGTCAGAACCCTCTGGTAGGCAAGACAAAGATCCAGAACCTGGGGGCTGGCTGGAGAGAAGGTCTCACTGTGTAACCCAGGCTGACCTTGAACTCAAGAGCACTGTCTGCCTCTCCCTCCCCAGTGCTGGGATCAAAGGGCACACCACCATGCCTGGCCAACTCTGCCAGATTTTGCTACTTTCACTTGATAGTGCTATCTAGAAGGGCATCCCTTAGTAGGACACTCACATCCATCTCGTTCTCTTAATGAACAACTTTCTCTTGCCTCAATGCCATTTATTTTTAGCAGTTTCCTACTAATGGATATGCTGAATTTCCACTGTTCTGTTGATTCAAACAGTTTTATAATAATTACCTTAAAGATACATCTTTTCACATGAAGTATGCTATAGGACACATTCTCAAAAGGGGAGTTGTGGGATGAAGAGATGGCTCAGCATCAAACATACAGACTGCTCTTGCAGATGACCCAATTTTGGTTACCAGCATCCAATGTGGGACAGGCTCAAAACTACCTGCAACTCCAACTCCAGGGGATCTGACACTCTCTTCTAGCCTCTGCAGGTACTTGCACTCATGTGCACATATCCCCACACAGACATAGACACAATTTTTAAAATAAAAAATAAAGTTGCTTGGTCAGAGGATAAACATCTTCCTGTTCGTGTCAATTTAGGCAAAATGTAGTACTACTTGTTTCAATTTACACTTGATTATGATTAAAGATGAACCCAACTTATTGAGTTGCTGTTCTTTTGTCTTTTAGGCGATTAGGTGGATGAGCTAAGCAGGCTCACACTCATCACTGAATTACATCTACAGATAACTTTAAAAAAATTATTTGTGCCGGGCATGGTGGCGCACGCCTTTAATCCCAGCACTTGGGAGGCAGAGGCAGGCAGATCTTTGTGAGTCTGAGGCCAGCCTGGTATACATAGTGAGTTCCAGGATAGCTGGGGCCACAAGGAGACCCTGTCTCAAAAAGACCAAAAAAAAAAAATTATTTGTATTTTATGTGTTTGAGTGTTTTGCCTGCATACATATAAGTGCACCTATGTGTGCAATACCCATGAAGGCCAGAAGTGGGCGTTGGATTCCCTGGAACTGATGGCTGTTGGCTGCCATGTGGGTGCTAGGAATTGAACCCAGGTCCTTTGCAAGAGCATGCAGTGCTCAATGGCTGAACCGTCTCTCCAGCCCCCACAGATAACTTCTTTAATAGATGAACTGCTCATAAGAGTATATCAAAGCATGTTGTGGGAAAATGAATAGAATTGGAGATCATCCTGTTACATAAACTAAACCAGACTCAGAAAGGCAAGTATCACATGTCTGTGGAATCTAGAGAGGAAATATATTTGCTATAGAAGGGGGACCATCAGGGAAGAAGGGGTCCATGGGGTAGGCAAAGGAAGTACAAGAGAGGGTAGTGAGGCAGTTAATATGATTGACATCATGATATATAGACAGGAAACATCATTTTGTACAAAAAATATACATTAATAAGGGGGCTGGAGAATAGATTCCCAGCACCCACATGGAGGCTAACGACTGTCCTTAACTCCAGTTCCAGGTGACCTGACGCATTCTTCTGACCTCCATGGGCATTGCACAACACGGGTGCACTTACATTCATGCAGGCAATACACTCATACAATAAAAATAATAAATTTTTTTAGAAAATATATACATTAATAAGCTAGACTTGGTGCCACATGTTTGTAATCCCAGCACTTGAAAGGCAGAGGCAGGAGAATTGCCACATGTTGGAGGCCAGACTTGTCTGTGTAGAGCGTTCCAGGCTAGCCCAAGCTATATAGTGAAACCCTTTCTAAAAAATTAATAAACCAGGCATGCTCTGCCCCCTTTTCTGAATTAGTCAGATTCCTTCTTTTCTTCTTTCGATCTTTTCTAAGCATGCTTTCCCCAATGCTTGGGGCTTCCCCAGCACTTTGGGCTTTCTTACTCTTTCTCTAAAGCTCTCCTTCCTGCCTTGTGGCTGCTAGTCTGTGTCTGACCTCCACGCTGGCTTAAACAGCATAGTTTTTTTTCCTCTCTCCCCCATTGGGTAGCCTGCTGAGATTTACAGCTAGCCTGCCCTGAGGTTTTTCTCTTTAAATGCTAGTAAAATGGTCCTCAGGCTTCTGTTTGAGTCCATTCTTAAATTATTTTATTAATGAGACTAAGACCCCCTCAAGAGGAAAATCCAGATTTCCCTGTCATCATTTGGTGATGCCTTTAATCCCAGCACTCAGGAGGCAGAGGCAGGTGAATCTCTGTAAATTTGAGGCCAGCCTGGTCTACATTTCGAGTTCCAGGCCAACCAGAAAGACAAAATGAGACCTTGTCTCAAAAAATAAAAAATAAATAGTGCACACACACACATAAATAAATTAATAAATTAATAATAAATAAAATGAATACATTAAGAAAGGCTGGGGATATAGTTCAATGAGAAAGCACTTGCCCAACCTGTGTAAGGCACTGAAGGGAAAAAAAAAAAAAAGAGAGTATGTAGTTCATTGGTAGTGCTTGCCTAGCATATCCAAGGCCCTGGGTTCTATCACCAGTACATGAGGAAAGAAGGAAAGGAAGGCAGGAGGGGAAAGAGAACGATGGAAGGAAATTGATGCTTTGTGGGATGCTTCGCAAATATTTTTCCCGGTGTGTTGAGCTCTGCATTTGTGTCTTGTCTCTTTTTATTTTAAAGCTCACAATTCAGTGGCATCTACTACCTTCACAGTGTCGTGCAACCTTCACCTTTACCTGGCTCCAAAACATTTTTGTTGTTACCAGGCTGGCCTTGAACTCTTGAGCTCCTGCTTTGGGCTTTAGATTGCTGAGATTATAGCAAAACATCTTTACACTTTACTTCTGAAATTGTGAGTACATTTTTTGAGGGGGGGGTCTTTTTGAGACAGGTCTTCCTGTAGCCCCAGCTGACCTGGAACTCGCTATGTAGACCAGGCTGGCCTCAAACTCACAGAGATCCACCTGCCTCTGCCTCCCAAGTGCTGGGATTAAATGCATGCGCCACCATGCCCAACACGAGTACATTTTTTAAGGTAATCTTTTTAATTTTATTTTACTTTTATTTTATGTGTATGAGTGTTTTGTCTACATGTAAGTGTACCCGTGCATGCATTGTCAGAAGAAGGTGTCAGATCCCCTGGAACTGGAGTTACAGATGGTTGTTACTGCTGGGAATTGAACCTGGGTCTTCTGCAAGAGCAGCCAGTGCTCTTAACCGCTGAGCCATCTCTCCATCCCCTTGTTATTCCCTTTTTTTTTTTGTCTTTTTTTTGAGACAGGGTCTCCCTATAGCTGTTCTGGAACTTGCTATGTAGACCAGTCTAGCCTTGAACTCACAGAGATCTGCCTGCCTCTGCCTCCCAAGTCCTGGGACTGAAGGCATGTGCAACCGTGCCCAGCTCTAGTTACTCTTTTATAGTCATTTTTAACTAGCTTCTTTGTTGTTGTTGTTGTTATCGCAGAACCATTTGCCCTTTTGTTTCCTCATAATCTAACACTTCCTTTTCTTTCCAGTCTAACTTTATGATGATCTCAGCCACTATCTCATCAACGCTTAGTCTCCTTTCAGAACGTAAACCCTGCCTCTGTATCTGTCCATCTGTCCCCACCTCTTTGCTCTAATACAGGGGCTGATGTACACTGCCTAAGAGAAAAATCATATGACTACACTTACTTGTTCATTCAACAAATTTTTAAATTTTTATTATTATTAGTGTGCGTGTATGTGTGTCTGTATGAGTATATTGCCTACATGTTTAAGCGTATGGGTGTTGTGCAATGTTCTGTGGAGATCAGAAGAAGGCGCTGGATCCCCTGTAACTGGAGTCATGGATGGTTGTTA